TACCCCAAGGGCGATCTCTCTGAAAAGAATTAACCAAACCTGCAGAGGTTTTCAATTCTTTGAAGAGAGTCGTCCTTGAGGTAGAACCTCCGCCTCCCCGCAATTCTGTTCACTGATATATTCAGCAGAAGGAATGATGATACGGGTCTAGGAGCCTACCCAGTTGGTGCGCATGCGCTAAGGGAGGTAACTCCGTGAGGTAGGGGCCGTATAATAAATAAAAGAGTTTATTTATTGTTCAATCTTTTTATTCAAAAAACATTGATACAACTGTCACAGTACATTTTTCAGCCGGAAAATGCATAATATGTACCCCAAGGACGACTCTCTTCAAAGAATTGAAAACCTCTGCAGGTTTGGTTAAGTTTTATTGAACCTTATATAAGGAAGTCGGAATTATCTTCAAGACTGAAGTTATTTTCACGACAGCCTGGAAAATAACCTACCCAGCATTAATATTACAGAGCGAGGTATTTCGCGCCGGAGGTTTCGCGCGTTTACCATTAACTCTCGAAACACGTGGTCACTCGGCTTACTTCGGGAAGCTACGGTGAAGACCGACGATTGTTCTAATATCAACGACGGCACTATATTATACAAGGTTCCTTTTCCTGCTACACCGGTGACATCACAGCGCGGGTACTCTACAGAATCAAAATGCCTTGTTCTGATTGGACCGAGATGGACAACGCCCTACGCAGAGGTCGATCATAGTTCACAGTTCAAGACATAGGTTGCAAGTGACAACAATATATCAGTGAACGAGCAAGCCTCCTTACAGTCCAGCTAATCTGAACCTTTATGATTGGGCTGCCTTCTTGAGGTTAGGGACCTCCCCTGTCAAGTAAGGACGAGGGCACGGCAGTCAGGCGATTTTTTACATAAAGTTCAACGATGGCAGTCACCCCTGGTTGTGCACCTACATCGTCAAGGACTTCGCAGCGAATTTAACTCGACGGGATACAAATGGATCCAAATCCATAGCGTCTCAGTCTACAGTTGAATTCATCATCAAGCTACTAACACAACTAGATGGTTAGTAAACCTACTTAAGTTGGACCTAGAACCTTCGCAAGTTCTGCTATTCTAGGTTTTTGATTTGTAACGGCGCAGAATTGTATAATTGTACCGGAGGACCATGGATCAAGATCCAACAGTCATTCCACAAGCCTTACTATCTCCGCTACCACTACGACAGTGACAGAGCCTGTTGGGGTTACGCACTTCAGCTCAAGATATGACAGGCAGAGGCAGACTACTATTACATCCGTTACAAGTCATCATCAATTCGCATCTAGACGAATCTCTACCGTTCAATTTACCGGTTCAGGTCAAACCTCATCTACTATGGTGGACCAAGAGATCGAATGTTTGAATAGGCGTCTCGTTAATAGAGCTGGAATCGATAACACTTCTCTACGTAGATGTGTCACTACAAGGTTGGGGAGCCCATCTTGCCAACAGGACGGCATCAGGGCTATGAGCAATCAAGAGAGCATATTACACATAAATCTGCTAGAGATGCAAGCAGTAATAAACGCCTTAATGCACTGGAGCAACTTACTACAGTATACCCAGTGGATGATTCACACAGTCAATTCGACAGTGGCGTTTTATGTGAACAAACTAAGCTCAACCAGGTCCCCGAACCTATCGACTCTATGTTTTCAATTGTTCGATTTAATCGACAATCTCAACATACATGTCAGAGCATATCACATTCCAGGAGCAAAGAATGTGATAGCAGACGCTCTCTCTCAGCCACACATACCATCGCCGACAGAATGAATGCTCCATACGGAGATATTCACTCTAATTATCAAGGAAATAGGAACTACACTAATAGACCTATTTGCCACTCGATTCAACAAACAACTGACAGCATTCGTATCGCCAGTTCCAGACCCACTAGCTTTGGCTACAGAAGCACTAAGCATATCGTGGGAAGGACTCAACGCGTACGCTGTTCCGCCACCAGCGTTAATCTCACAAGTTTACTCTAAATCAGTCAAACGCAGAGCCTCCATCTGAATTTGGTCGCGGCCTACTGACCAGCGAGAGCGTGGTTTCCAACTCTTATTCAAGAAATCGGACAACCAATACTACATCTTACAGAGTGCTCGAATCTGTTAATACATCCGCACACCAAACAAGCGCACGGAAAGCCAGATATATTCCAACTTCACGTATGGATTGTATCAAGGCGTGTCTGAATAACAAGTTATTCAGCCAGAGCAGCAAAGCAGTCTAGCTTGCCCTGCGTAACTCAACTTGCAACTTATACGATGACAAATGGCACAGTTTGGCAATTATGCTGCAAAGGAAGGATTTACAGCTAGATATGCTACTCATCCTCAAGTGGCTGACTACTTATGTTATCTACGTCAGACTAAGATTTTATAAGGCTCAACTTGTCCACCTATCTTGCAGCAATAGCTCTGTCATAACTGAGAACTGGCGTCAAGTTAACCTAAACCCAGTTACTCGCCTTGCTACGAGCTTTCCGATTGGAGGTTTTAAACGGAAGTTTCACGCTCCAACTTGGGATCTGATTATAGTGTTCCAACACCTCACAAGTGAGGTTTATGAACACGCTTTGCTGATATACTTGGACCCCATGATACAATGAATCTATCACGATGGTCAGTAGAGCACTGAAAATATATCTCCACCGAGCCAAACAGGAGAGGAAAAATTCAAGAGATTTATTTCCTCTATCAACAAGCTTTCATGACTGAAGTCTCAATGCGTACTACTATCTCCTTTTGGATCAGAACTGTCATACTACGTGCCTACAAGACTGCAGGACTCGACCCTCCAAGAGCTTCTAATCCTCATGATATTAGAGCGCTAACATCTACACTTGCTCTACTCGACAAGTGCAATTGAAATAACATAATGGAGGGTTAATTCTGGAGATCCGATATGGTGTTTGCCAACCACTATCTGAGAGATATCACCACCGAGGACGTCTCAGGTATCCACCAATTCGGTCCCATGGTCCTCGCACAACAGTTGATAGTTCCTCGGAGAAGATAAGTCAATCTTACAGATTTCTACTTATCTTATAACAGTACTAAATAGCTACATGCTATATATATTTTGCTTAAGTTCTTTTATTATCTTAAGCTCAGTACTATGGTTATTATATCATACAATATATAAGGTAACAACTCTACAGAGTTTGTTATTATATATTTAGCTTAAGTTAATCATATCTTAAGCTCAGTACTATGGTTACATTATAAATGTATTAGCTAACAAACTCTACAGAGTTTTTGCTATTATATATGTAGCTTAAGTTAATTATATCTTAAGCACAGTACTATACTCATATCATAAAAATATATTAGCTAACAAACTCTACAGAGTTTTTGCTATTATATATGTAGCTTAAGTTTATTCATATCTTAAGCTCAGTACTATGTTTATATCATATAAGTATATTAGCTAACAAACTCTAAAGAGTTTTTGCTATTATATATTTAGCTTAAGTTTCATCATATCTTAAGCATTATGGTTACATTATAACATGTATTAGCTAACAAACTCTACAGAGTTTTTGCTATTATATATGTAGCTTAAGTTTATTCATATCTTAAGCTCAGTACTATGTTTATATCATAAAAGTATATTAGCTAACAAACTCTAAAGAGTTTTTTGCTATTATATATTTAGCTTAAGTTTCATCATATCTTAAGCATTATGGTTACATTATAAAATGTAATAGCTAACAAACTCTCTATATTGGAGTTTTTGGCTATTTAGGTAGCTTAAGTTAATTATATCTTAAGCACAGTACTATACTCATATCATAAAATATATTAGCTAACAAACTCTACCAAGTTTTGCTATTATATATATAGCTTAAGTTTTATTCATATCTTAAGCTTAGTACTATGTTTACTTCATAAAAGTATATTAGCTAATAAACTCTAAGGAGTTTTTGCTATTATATATTTAGCTTAAGTTTAATCATATCTTAAGCTCAGTACTATGTTTATTTCATAAAAGTATTTTAGCTAACAAACTCTAAGGAGTTTATGCTATCATATTAACAAGCTTAAGTCTATTAGTCTTAAGCATTGTATTAATGTTATATATACTTTTATCATAATAAGTACATTGTAATAACCTTTATATGGCAGCTGATAAGTTAGCAGCAGGAATTCATCAGTTCAGTGCCTTTATGAAGTTCCCATAGGGTTATTACAATCATCACAGTTCAAATCACTAATTATTAAAATCCAAAGTATTATATATTCCCACCTCCTTTTCCGTCGGATTCTACAAGCAATAAGCATGAGTCAGGATAAGGAAAATATGTAATTTTTAGAGTAAAATTGATATTTTATACTTATCCTGACTCATGAGGTAAGCCTCCCATCCATCCCCACATAACACTTTGGATTTCCCTGGAAATTCAAGTGTTGGGCTCAGTATATGAGGAGAGAGTGAGGCACATGGGTTGAGGTGGAGCCCTCGTTCCCGCGCTTGGGCAGGGGAGGTAACTCGTGGTGAGTACTAATTAGTGATTTCTTTATTGAAGGGAACTTCAATTGGGAGATACACGTGTTCCACTAGGTTCGCAAGAAGAAGAACACAAGCAATAAGCATGAGTCAAGATAAGTATAAAATATCAATTTTACTCTAAAAATTACATTTTCTACTTATGGCTATTGTAGGCTTGTGTTTGTGTATTGGTGACACGACAGCTGTAGTGTGATAATATGATTGTTGCTCATGCTTTTACGTACTGGTTTAGATGACCAAGGGAAGATTGGGCAGCCTAGTGGTTAAAGCGTTCGCTCGTCACACTGCAGACCATTCACATTGGTACAATGTGTGAAGCCATTTCTAGTGTCCCCTGCCATGATATTGCTGGAATATTGCTGAAAGCGGCATAAAACTCAACTCACTCACTCATTTGTTCAGGTTTCCAAGTTTACACCATGATATGACGTGTGTAATGCTGTGTAACATGCTCCGTTCTGTTGCAGGCAGATTATCACAAGTGAGGCAGCACTTCTCTCCACCATCGTGGACATCCAGGATCTCAGTCACAGAATGTTCTTCAACAGTCTCACCTGCAACGCCAACAAACTGCTGGACAAGGTAGCAGCATATGCATGTATCATGCTTTGTGAAGTTACTGCTCTGACATGTGATCACATTATTGTAACTGGTTACTCGACAATGGGTAAACAATGCCTCTGCTACCAGTGCTTTTCATGAAAGCCCAGAGGAGATCTTTAACATTTAATTATTATGTCTCGTTATAAATCCCAGGACAGAGTAGGAACTAAACATCCCTTGATTATCTCCCCTTTAAAGGTTTAGATACACCACAGTACATCTAATTCAATGTTCTCCCTGTGAACGTAACATGCCCAAAGTGATACCCCCATGATTGATGTATATGATAGAAATCCCAGTGTAGAGTGGATATCACAAGCATATTTCCTAATTTACCTCTCGGTAGTACCAAATAGGGAATTTGGTGTGTTTCAATCCTCTGATGATAAAAGATAGAACCAGCTAAGCAGATAGGTGTGATGTATTTTTGTCATGTTCAAGAGCATCGACTTTCTGTGTTCTCCAGGTAGAGTTACCTCCCTCTGACCTGGGTCCGACGGGTTCCCTGACACAGACCCTACAGCTACTGCGGGATGTCCTGGCCTGCCATGATGCCTCGGTTGTTCCCATTGATGACAAGAAGCAGGACTTTAAACAGGTCTGCACGCTTAGAATTAGTTTTGTTCCAGGGTGAATCAGGTGCCCTGCGTCCATTGTTTGTCTCTACCTAGGAATCCCAACATTAACAACATCTGAGATATGCTGCAGATTAAAGTATGGCATTTATGTATATTTCATTTCCTTTTAATTATTGCTTGTTAAATGCCTCTGAATTGAGTAGAAGTCATCGAGAACAGATTGGTTTTATTGTTCTGATTAGGGGATACACCTAGTTTCAGACATCTTCAAATAATAATATCAAAATAGCATATGCATGTCTATATAAGTGTAACAAGCAGGCTCTTCAATATAACGAAATAAACCATTTCCCCTGGACTCCTTCCAATTGATTTACCAGTATAAGTCTTTAATAAGATGATTCATTTCAGTCAGTGTCAGTTTATTATGGTTCTTTTACGTGTCATTAAACAGGTATAACCATTTGCAAAATGTTAAACTTTGACAATTTGACAATTGCAGATTTTGTCGTGTGTTGTGGACCCGCTGATACAGATGTGTTCCGTGTCGGCCAGTCGTCTCAACACAGTGGACATGGCTGCGTACATGATCAACTGTATCTACCTGATGCAGTCCAACGCTTGCTCTGTACGAGTTCACAGACACACGCTTGGAGATGCTGCAGGCCCAGGTAACACAGTCTTGTGAAAGTGTTGGTATTCCAGATTAGATGGTATAGTCCTCAGATCAGCCTTATTTGTGCTTTGCTTCTTTGTAAATGAGTCTTCTCACCACTGTGTCAGTTTGTTGTGGAGTCTTCCACTTGTAATTGTTGTGGAGTCTTCCACTTGTAATTGCCGTGAGTTTGCTGTGGACCCTTGAGCCTGCTGAGTTGGTTTGTTGTGGGGTCTTTTTAGGTGCTTTGTTGATTTGTCATGGACAAAATTCATGGCTGTGTTGGTTTCTTGTAGGTCGATGCCCATGTGGACACACTTATCAGTGAGCAGGCTTCCTTTGTGCTGGGAAGGGTTGGACTGTCTCCCATCTACAGCTCCGTGCAGCAGCACCAGCCCAGCCAGGTAATGTCACGTTTACCTGTAGCATCTAGGATTTGTATCTTGTTTGGCTATATGTATTCATGTATAATTGTACAGTAGAACACGGATATAACGAACTCCAAGGGACCAAGAAATTTAGTTCGCTATATCCGTTGTTCGTTATTCACATTTGACCGCCATCTTGGATTGTAGAGATGTAGACATTCACAGACATTACCTATATCATGTTGATAAATATGAAGTTTATATTTTTAAACTTATCCTATCTCACGACTTGCACCTCTCTCTCTTCATTCGACCATGAGTGGAAACGATTTAAAACTTTGCTCCAGGCCTACCTTGTCCCTGTCCTCGTGCTGTGCGTGCCTTCCTGCCTCAGTCATGCTCACTAGTCCATGACAGCACGAGGCATGCGCAGTCCTCACCCACGTGATCACCTCACATACTCATTCTCTTTCTTGTCGCTCCACAGAGTGGACGTGAATTTTTGTTTTCGTCTGATAATTGCTCAATCTGGTTAAGCCTGTTCAAGCCAGTAACGAAGTTTTGCGCTCAGCGTAATAAAGTTTTTTCAGCTTGGGACCCACACACATCGTGTGTTGATTTTGTGGGTTGTTGTGATTAGGACAAACGTTGTCCTAAGTGTTCAGGACTTGTCTAATGAGGATTTTAAAGCTTACAAACGTGCTTGTGCCAGACGTTTGGCAGATAGGGCCAGGAATGCTTATGCGTGTTCTGGTCCATTTCCTGCTAAAAACAATGTTTACATCGCCCCACCCTACCTGCTCACCGTTCTAAAATCTCCCGTCTCTCCTAACGAAGATTTTATGGACGCTTCGGTCTGATTCCTATTTGTCTGAGACTGTTAAAAGGCGTTTGGGACGGGAAGTGTCGTTCTAGATCTCGTTCACGCTCGAGCTCTCGTCGTCCTTCCAGTGTACCAGTCCGAAACGATTCACCACCTTGATTCATTTCACCAATCAGAATTGGGTCTAATGCTAGTGTTGGTGCACTAGAACGGAACCATTCACCTAGCCGTGTCATTGCCAAGGGTCGAACTAGTTCACTCAGCCGAGCCGGCTCACCAGACCGTAATCGAATGGGTTCACCTGACTGAACTGATTCACGTAATCGAATGGTCTTACCTGACCGAACTGATTCACGTAATTGAATGGGTTCACCTGACAGAACTGATTCACGTAATCGAAGGGGTTCACCAGGACGAACGGGTTCACATTCCCGACTCAGTTCACCTCAACATAGGTTTCAGTTCGACGCACCATCTCATAGTCGAATCAATTCACCACAGCGTTTTGATTCACTTAGTCGTTCAGTCTCACCTGGTCGAGGTGGTTGGCCATTTCGATCCGGTTCACCTAGCCGTACAGTGTGTTTTCATCAGAGTGATTCTCGTAGTCGGTCTCATTCGCCTCAGGTGAATCAGGATATCCCGTCTTGTCAGTTTAGACTAAGTAGCGTAATTTTGCGCACACTGTAACAATATTTACTTCCTCGGATCCCCAATCGTCATGTTCCTGGAGCAAACGTTGTCGGGAATGTGCTCCCTTATCAAGGACGTTTTTAGAGCATGTAGACATGCTTGCTCCCGATGGCTGGCAGACAGAGCTCGTTACACTTCAACAGTTGATCATCCGACAAACCCCCGCTTTTAACGACCGGTATTAACTGCTCGTCGTCCGCAGATTCCCATGTCGGACGGTGATAATTTTATTGGCGCATCATTAGATGTCTTCTCGTGGTTCCCCCTCATCAAAACGCTCTGTGTTGCCAGCTGACTCACACATCCGATCTACATCGTCAAATCGCCGAACCGATTCACCACACCGAATCGGTTCGCCATACCGAATGGATTCACCAGACCGAACCGTTTTTACCGAATGGATTCACCACACCCAATCGGTTCGCCATACCGAATGGATTCACCACACCGAATCGGTTCGCCATACCGAATGGATTCACCACACTGAATCGGCTCGCCATACCGAATGGATTCACCAGACCGAACCGTTTCGCCACGGCGTATGTGGATTACGACATGGACTCAGTTTCCTATCGCCGAAACGGTTCACATCATCGATTCAATTCACAGCACCGAAACGATTCACCTCGGCCGGAACATTTCACCTCGCCTCACCGGTTCATCTGAGCGTTCTAGATCTCTCCATCAGCTGAGATCATTTAAACGTTTCGGATTACCGAACCGATCCAGATCACAGTCACGATCCAGATCATAATGCTGATCCAGGTCACGGACTGATTCAGATCACGTCAACATTCCGGTTCACCACCCTGAACCCATTTACCAGCCCGACTCGTACCGTTTCACCAGGCCGAAAAGCTCCTTATCGTCGAACCAGTTCACCTGGCCGTCAAGTTCACTGAATTGTCAGCATTTATCGAACTGTCAGCATTCGTCAATAATTCGTTCTTCTGACCTTGCCAGCAATTGAGCTTATTCATGAATTGGGCGATTCACCACTCGTGTTATTTCCAACACGGCGCATCTTACCAGCCTATCAGAGCCTATGCCAAATGTGTCTGGGATGCCTCCCAAGACACTTAATCCACATCGAACCTCGTCTTTGTTTTCATAGTACGGGCTACGCCAGTCGCCTATAAGAGGCAGGAATGGTTTTGGTTGATTTGACAAACATGATCGCATGGTTCGCCGACCACGTACAGCTGCCTAGAGCAAGATACCAGATGTTCAGTTGATTGCATTCAACATGAAGGATCGGGACTTGTCAACACTGGTTTTCCACATCCTCAACGAGGTTCGTGAACTTGCATCTGGATTGGGCCAAATTTGTCGAACTCTGCTAGTTTTCAACACGAACATAGCTCAGCCCGGAATTGATGGGTTGCGACTCGCCCGGTTAACCGAAGACCATGTTGTCCGTTTTTTTGTCACTCGTGTGTAACTTTTGCAAATGGCGGACTACTGTTTGTTTACCGGAATTTTGATGATTAGAGTGACTATGAAGTGCCCTTGCAGACTTGTCTTGGTCCCACGAATCGGATACCAAGTCCAGCCTTTAAATGTTAGTAACAATGAACGCTGCCATTCCCCTTTAAGAGTGAATGTGTCAGGATTTTGACAGCCAGTCGAGAGAGAGACTGCTTATCGAGGGTGACAGACAGAAATACCCGTGAACGGTTTGACTAGTTCAAGCACTGAGTTCAGAGGTCACTGCAGTTATGCAAGGACTGTCACCAGGCAGCGATCTACTACCTTTATCACTCCACTTGGCGCACCATTATTTTGTTCCGCCAACCGAAACGTTCCTGAGGTCACCGATCGCGTGCAATTTCTACAATTTGTTTACAATGTGAACGTTCCTGTAGATTGACTGACAATCTCCTTTCGCCGAACATACTACATTGAACACTCCGTCAGAACTGACGTAGTTGCTCGACTTATTGAACGTTCTTATAACAGGAGATATCTTTTTGTCAGAGGCAAGAGTGGTTAGACCTCTCATTTCCCTCGACCTGCGAGGGCCGTGGGGTAGACTAGTGGTTAAAGCGTTGGCTCGTCATGCCGAAGACCCCGGTTCGATCCCCACATGGGCACAATGTGCTAAGCCCATTTCTGGTGTCCCCCGCCGTGATGTTGCTGGATTATTGCTAAAAGCGGTGTAAAACTCATCTCAGTCAGTCAGTCAGTCAGTCAGTCCCTCGACCTGTGAGACGCCTACCTTCACATCCGGATACATCCAGACTATCGGAAGTATCTTCGATTTACTTTTAAGGGGCGTCATTGATACCAATGGAGGATCCTGCTGTATGGGCATATGTGCAGCCCCGTGGCTTTTTACTCAGATACCCATTCTGATAACAAGCTACCTGCATTGTCGGCGTGACATTTGACAACAATATCGACAAACTGTGTTCAGAAGCCCAGCAGGATCCAGTCGTCCTTCCTCTCCACAGACAGTTCATCATCAAGTTGCTCTCGCGCAATTAGGATGGCTGCTAAATTGAGCAATCAGGGGTAACACACCGACCGATGATTTCTTTTATTGGGACAATATTCAACACCACGACAGGTCATGATGTTTGTGCCCCAGGAGAGGTGGGACAAGATTCAGTGCAACGCACCACTAGTGTTGGTCCAACCCACACCTTTTGCCAGTGGCAGAAGTTACTAGGGTGGTGGCGTCGGCAAGCGCTGACTGGCGGGCCAGCTGCAGCTTGCCCTCTTCAGATGGTTCTGTGCCCAAACATCGGGGGCGACAACCCCAGGGAGTTGATTCGTCTTCCCGCACAACTACATTCAGTCTTTCGTTGGTGGCTCAACAAGTGGAATGTTTGTGTTGGAGTCTCTAGGGTGCCCTTCATACCGACTCAACACCTATTCGTTGGCACATCTTGCAAGCTGGGGCTCACTTTCTCCATCAAGTGGCCTAGCAGTGGTCATCAGGAGAAAGGGCCCTTCATCACAACGCTAATTGGAATTCAGCACTGTCATTATCGCCTGTTCGGCATTTTCGGGACAACCATCAGCTTCAGCGCAGATGATCACCAGTTCGCGAACGTTTCTGCTTTTGTGTACAATCTGAATAAAATTCAGAATTTTATTTCTGATTTGTGTCTTCGATTCTTCTGGGACTTGTGAGTTTTCCGATTCAATTACCCTTTCACCCTCCACTGGACGGTGTCTGTGGGGGTTGTTTCAAAGCAGGGGCTGGCCCGATACTGGTCGTCAGACCTTGGAAATCGTGGTAATGTGACTGATTACACTCGCTAAGCTGCGTCCTTTCACTTTCGTGAAGGTAGTGACTGAACACCACATTGCTCGTGAATCCCGGTCTCTGGAGCACTTGTGTTTAGTAAGTCAATGGGTTCGAACTGACAATAGTAGGTCTCGCTTTTGAGACGCTGGAGGGTCGCCACCTCACTTACTGTCCTCTGCTCCACGGAGTAATTACGTCAGTGAAGTGAGTCATTCCCGAAGTGTTACACTTCATAGCGTTACCTTAAACCATCGCGAAGAGCGCCCGTCTGCGTAAAGAGACTGTTTATACCCTTGTCTACTGCTTCCAAGGCGGAAGTCTCGCACAACACTCTCATATTGGCTACGAGCTACAATACTACGAGCCTCCACTTTTGCCGGTTTGCCACCACCTACGGCAGTCAACCCTCATGAAACCAGGGCATTGGCTTCTACTATGGCGTTGCATAGCAACTGCTCGTTAACTGCCATAATGGAGGGTTGTTTTTGGCGATCTGACACGGTATTTTCGTCTCATTACCTCAGAGATGTGTCGGTGACGGATATTCAAGGCCTTCATCAGTTTGGACCATTCGTCCTTGCCTAGCAGTTATCAGCAGCACAACATCGGAGATAATGAACTTCCTTGTGCTACGATGCTATATGGATCCCATTTGTGCAGTTGATCCCAAGTCGTAATCGTTTCTGCTTGTGTACAATCTGAAAAAATCTGAAAAAACCTTTTTCTGATTTGCGTCTTTGTTTTTTTCCGGGATTTAGATTTCTCCTCTCATTTGTTTGAGACTATAGAGAGTCGCCACCTCACTTACTGTCCTCTGCTCCACGGAGTAATTAAGTCAGTGAAGTGAGTCCTTCCCAAAGTGTTACACTTCGTAGCGTTCATGCTCCTAAGTGCCTATACACATCTATGTGATCTTTCTGTGGTAAGTAGTGGAAGTCATTAGATGATGTTGTGGTACTGAACGTTAAAATTGTGAGTTTTACCGATTCAATTACCCTTTCACCCTCCTCGGGACGGTGTCTGTGGGGATTGTTTCGAAGCAGGGGCTGGCCCGATACTAGTCGTTAGACTTTTATTACGGGGGTACCTTGGAAATCGTGGTGATGCGACTGATTACACTCGCTAAGCTACGTCCTTTCACTTTGTGAAGGTAGTGACTGAACACCACATTGCTCGGGAATCCCGGTCCCTGGGAGCACTTGTGCTTAGTAAGTCAATGGGTTCGCACTAACCCTCGCACGTAGTAACTTGGTAGTTATTGGCCTACCTTGTAGTTGCTTCCTCACGGTTGTTTGGGCATAACGCTTAGCTGTTATCGCTTGAACTTCGGGTAATCTATGACCCACCTTCCTACCGTGGGATAAGTGCAAGTCGTGAGATAGGATAAGTTTAAAAATTTGGAAATTTTAACTATAAATTGTATATTTATATACTTATCCTATCTCACGCGATAAAGTCCCTCCCTACCTCCCCACTACATAGATACCACCGTTCCGGTTTTGTCCTTTTATGGCTCCAAGATCGAGAATGAGTATGTGAGGTGATCACGTGGGTGAGGACTGCGCATGCCTCGTGCTGTCATGGACTAGTGAGCATGACTGAGGCAGGAAGGCACGCACAGCACGGGGACAGGGACAAGGTAGGCCTGGAGCAAAGTTTTAATTCGTTTCCACTCATGGTCGAATGAAGAGAGAGAGGTGCAAGTCGTGAGATAGGATAAGTATATAAATATACAATTTATAGTTAAAATTTCCAATTTTATAATAAAATTGAAATAATACAACTACAACTTAAATAAATTTATTTTTTAATGAAAATGCAAGCTTACATTTATAATGTCCAGATAAACCACGAAAGAAGCAAAAACTGTAGCGATTTTTTTTCCATTTGTGACATGTCATAACATGCCCGTGCCTTTTTCTTTTATATTTTCATTTTTATGTAATCAGGCTTTCCGTTCGTTAACAAGACACAACAACGGGAAATACCTCCGTTTTCGAAGCTTTGTATGAATAACATGCGAGGCTAATCGTGTGGTGTCTGGTATCGTTCAACAGCTCTGGAACATCAACAATATCACTGTACCCTCGCCGAGAGTATTTTCACAGTTGTAAAAAGCGATTTTATTGGATAAAGATTGGTTTCTAATGACGCTTTTTCGCCACAGTCTGCTATAAGGATCGTGATTGGTCAAAATCAGACACGTGACCTAAGGCAGCCAATCATACTACGGCAATGGATACCGTCCTCGTCGAGGAAAACGGTTGTTGAATGGGTTAATTAATTAATGACCATCAATCAATGTTGATTCACCGCCAACAAGATTGATGTATACTGTACCGCTAAGTGGCTGAGCTGACACTGAGTGAGTTCGCTAATCACGTCGTTAATTGGGTCTTGGGGGTAGTTAATCAGTTCGCTATAGCCGTTAATTCGCTACTCACGAGTTCGTTATTCACGTATAATTTTAATGATATTATAAAGGACTGTTGAAATTTGTTCGCTATATCCGTTTGTACACTATATCTGTGTTCGCTATAACCATGTTCTACTGTATTATCAATTTAGTATGAATACAAACATGATTTTTGATACAAAATAGCGAAGTCATTATTTCTTAATTATTTCCATGGTTAAGATAGGCAAGGAGAACATTTTGCAGTTAACAGGTTCATTCTAGTTCCTGTTTAGCATAATGCTGAGTAATTGCATATCTACATAGGTACTGTTATCTACATGACCCTGACCTACTTTCCTTCACTGTTTCCCACAGGGGCCTCTCTCAGTCATGCAGGGGATGGATACACTGACCGTCAAGTCGGGCATGGTGAGGAATATCCCATCCTTGATTATCCATTACATCTCTATTCTGTTGTGACTTGCTGTTACCCTACCATTACATCTCCATTCTATTGTGACTTGCCGTTACCCTACCATTACATCTCCACTCTGTTGTGACTTTCTGTTCCCCTACCATTACAACTCTATTCTGTTGTGACTTGCCGTTACCCTACCATTACATCTCTATTCTGTTGTGACTTGCCGTTACCCTACCATTGCATCTTTATTCTGTTGTGACTTGCCGTTACCATACCATTACATCTCCACTCTGTTGTGACTTGCCGTTACCATACCATTACATCTCCACTCTGTTGTGACTTGCTGTTACCCTACCATTACATCTTTATTCTGTTGTGACTTGCTGTTACCCTACTATTACATCCCTATTCTGTTGTGACTTGCCGTTACCCTACCATTACATCTCTATTCTGTTGTGACTTGCCGTTACCCTACCATTACATCTCTATTCTGTTGTGACTTGCTGTTACCCTATCATTACATCTCCATTCTGTTGTGACTTGCTGTTACCCTACCATTACATCTCTATTCTGTTGTGACTTGCTGTTACCCTACCATTACATCTCTATTCTGTTGTGACTTGCCGTTACCATACCATTACATCTCCACTCTGTTGTGACTTGCCGTTACCCTACCATTACATCTTTATTCTGTTGTGACTTGCCGTTACCCTACCATTACATCTCCACTCTGTTGTGACTTGCTGTTACCCTACCATTACATCTCCACTCTGTTGTGACTTGCTGTTACCCTATCATTACATCTCTATTCTGTTGTGACTTGCTGTTACCCTACCAATTCATCTCCATTCTGTTGTGACTTACCGTTACCCTACCATTACATCTCCACTCTGTTGTGACTTGCTGTTACCCTACCATTACATCTTTATTCTGTTGACTTGCTGTTACCCTACCATTACATCCCTATTCTGTTGTGACTTGCCGTTACCCTACCATTACATCTCTATTCTGTTGTGACTTGCCGTTACCCTACCATTACATCTCTATTCTGTTGTGACTTGCTGTTACCCTATCATTACATCTCCATTCTGTTGTGACTTGCTGTTACCCTACCATTACATCTCTATTCTGTTGTGACTTGCTGTTACCCTACCATTACATCTCTATTCTGTTGTGACTTGCCGTTACCATACCATTACATCTCCACTCTGTTGTGACTTGCCGTTACCCTACCATTACATCTCCAATCTGTTGTGACTTGCTGTTACCCTACCATTACATCTTTATTCTGTTGTGACTTGCTGTTACCCTACCATTACATCTCCACTCTGTTGTGACTTGCCGTTACCCTACCATTACATCTCCACTCTGTTGTGACTTGCTGTTACCCTATCATTACATCTCTATTCTGTTGTGACTTGCTGTTACCCTACCAATTCATCTCCATTCTGTTGTGACTTACCATTACCCTACCATTACATCTCCACTCTGTTGTGACTTGCTGTTACCCTACCATTACATCTCCACTCTGTGGTGACTTGCTGTTACCCTACCTGGCAGCCACAGGGGTAACAAGGAGTGTCTAGTAAGTGTGGTATTCCTAGTAAAACTGTGTGTAGAATCTTAGTGACCTGGAACTATAAAACTGGCTTGACTAAAACAAACAGCCACACACACACAAGCTATATATAAGAGGGAATGACCTTGAATGAGACAGTAATCCCTATTTCCCCTCACCTTAGTCTATAATGATGATAGTCCTGGACCTGTTCACTATCATTGCTCGTTGGAAAAATAACATCGCTGTCTCCATATCTCCACAGATTTGTCTCACCCACTGGTGTTATTTGATTGGACAGCTGTTTGTAACTTTGTGTTTTGTAAAGAGGGCTCAATATTTTAAAACTTGCTTTGCCTTCATAAAAATATTGAAATGTGAAAGAATAAAATGAAACACTGTGTTTTTCTTAATTCACTTATCAGAAAGAGGCAAAAAAGATATTAAATACTTGATTAAGACATGTTGAGGTTTTATGTTAGAAACTACTTAACATTTTGAGGAAACAACATATCTACCCAATTCTACTAGAGGTGGGACAATACAGAAATTTGACGATACAATACGTATCGCGATATATCTTGAAACGATACGATTCGATTCTAAGCATATCACGATATGCTTTCTTTAGTTATTTTCTTTAAAAAATTATATGTTAATAGCAAGAAATTTTGACATAACCGTCAATATCTGATGAACATTAACAATTTGAAGGTCAGCAATACATATCACGATACGAAAAAATGTATCGATATATTTATCGTCAGATAAAGTATCATGATTATCGATACTACGATACATCGTCACAGCTCTAAATTCTACTTTGTTGTATGAATCACTATAGAATAGAATCTGGTACACTGTCGATGATGTACATGTTGCATTATCAGTTTATGTCAGATTATAACAAACATGTTAGGTCTGTTTCGGTAGTTCAATATCAATACAAAATTTCAGTTCCTCATTACCCATGGTCAAGCAGGGCCAGATACATCTTTTTGAGAAAGGGGTGGGGTGCACACTTCATTTTCACGAGAGTTTCAATTGTCATTTAAAAACCTTTCAGGACAAAGGGGGTGCACCCCCACCACCCCCACCTCCATCCGCCTATGGTCAAGCGTTATTTGATGGTAATTTAGGTCGATTTTCTGTTCCATTCCAGAACAAGTTTGACAGTTACCTTGCCAGTCCTGATGCTCTGATCTTGCCCCAGTGTAGTCTACTGTTGAGTGCCTTGGTCAGGTGAGCTATTTCCTTTATTGATCATCACACTTACAGACGAGCAAGTGTCTTGGGCAGGTGAACTATTCATTCACTGATCATCATATGAAACGTTCAGCTGGTGCCTTGTCCAGGTGAGCTATACATTTTGCTGAGCATCATGTTGACAGACCAACAAGTGCCTTGGTCAGGTGAGCTATATATTTTACTGAGCGTCATGTTGACAGACCAACAAGTGCCTTGGTCAGTCATGTTGACAGACCAACAAGTGAGCAGGTGAGCTATATTTTACTGAGCGTCATGTTGACAGACCAACAAGTGCCTTGGTCAGGTGAACCTAGTGGGGTAGCCTAGTGGTTAAAGCGTTCACTCGTCATGCCAAAGATCCGGGTTCGATTCCCCACATGGGTACAATGTGTGAAGCACATTTCTGGTGTCCTCCGCCGTGATGTTCCTGGAATATTGCTAAGAGCAGCGTAAAACTAAACTCACTCACTCACTCCATAGACCTTTATGATGGGTGAATATTTATGCAGGACTAATGAGTCACTCTGAAGGTCATCGGAGCAGATGGATGTCATTTAAATAGGTCAAAAGTTATGTGAAATCTAGAATGTTTCAGACTCCCTGATAATGTGTTTCAGATCATCTGAGTAACCTGATAGCAAGAATTGTTCAGACGCCCGAAGCGGAAGGGCATCTGGTAACAAAATATATTTTCAAGGTACTCTGCTTAAGTCTGGGAGTAACAACGCATGCACGCGTCGTCATATGAGTAGGAATTTTACCCAATTTTACAGCATGTCTTCCACTGTAATAATATGGTCTCTGTCATGCTCTGTGTGTTTCAGTCTGTGAGATAATATATTTGTGATGACTAGTTTGAAATCGCTGATTTATGATAAAAATCGTCCTGTTCACTGTTTACCTCATTACATGTTCTGGTGTTGCCAGGGAGAACGTGAAGCAGAAGTCTGCCCAGCTCATCTGTGAAGCATACAAGCTGATGTACAGCGCCATCTACATCCCTTCCAACGAGTACAAGGAACCACAAGGCATTGTCCCCAGAACACCAGACCAAGTCCTCAAGCTGCTGTCATAGTAACACACCTGAAGTTGAAGACTGCATGAGAAGTACCTTATCATCCAAAATGAGAAACATGGAATCTCACACTGGCTCTCTGTGTTGTGCTGTACAGACAGTCTGGACTTTCCACAACAGTGCAGGACAATAGAATATGTCATTCTATGGGCTAAAGTTTCATAAACAAAATAAAATTTTTTTATGTCTTTTCCCAAAATATTTGTAACCAATTTCACCTTGCTTCCACTCAGTCTAGATGATAATTTTAAGGTTATGTTATCATGAAATATAGGAAAGTATTTGGAATGCAATCAGCCCATATTTCATGTTAAAAGGGAAGACCCAACCCAAACATTTCCTTTTGTAAACTGGAGCCAGCTGATCAAAAGGATGAACAGGTAGTTGTGTGAATTGTCACTGTCTGAGGACAGACAGCAGGGATTTACCAGGGTTGTATATTTGGAAAGCCTGGGGGCCTGAGGTCGTGACATGGGGTCCTGAGCTTACTGTGGCCAGGTGATGGAGATATGTTTGGGTGTACAGAGTGGGAAGCTGACCTTTTGTGTATGCAAACATGCTGATGTAGTAATTGCCATACGATGCACTAACATGTGTTGTATGTAATATACATATGTAACAGTATTTATATGGTGTATATAGTGATTCTTGTGTGAAGAATGGAACCATAATAAACATATGGAAACCTGATATATGTTGTTATGATTGACATGTTGGACGACAAAGATGTACATCCACAGGATGCTGTGGTGAATTTCTTTCCGAATGCTCTATACAGAAATATTGAATCTGTATTAAAACACCCTGTAAAATATCCGGACTAGACAAACCTGTCATTGATATTATGAGAACCCAACCACACTGTCGAAATATCTTGTTTTTTCTCCCCTAGGGAACAACACTGTTGTTCTTTCCACCACGACTCTCCATTAATCTTAAGTTTGGGGCAGACACTGCAGTTCTATTCACCTGTCCATAAAAGGAACCAACGTTCTTCCTCAAACCTTGGCTGAAATAATGCTGATGTGACATAAACTTTTAACTCACTCACTCACTCACTTCTGTGACATGAAATTAAGATTACCAGAAGTGTGAAGCTGAGAATAGGTGTGCTCTTCCATCAGAACAATACCAGTCCACAAATAAATAATTGTCATGACTAATATCCCACCGTTGTTTTGAAATCCTTCTGATATGGCCCCGACAGACTTATTTCTGTTCCCAAACAGAAACTCGAAACCCATGTCGTTTCCAACGATGACGTCAGAGCAGATGAGATGAACGCTTTTGACTGCCAAGAGAAAGTCTTCTTGGAAATATGGATAAAGTCCCCTGAACACCGTTAGCAAAGTGGAAGCTGTGACATTTATAACTCATTTATCAGTTTTTCGGTTACGTCTATGTAACACTCAGAACTTATCAATTACCTTTCCCAGTTATGGTGTCTTATTAGAACGATTTATCATCTTAGATAGAATCTACTAACTCATTTTCTGTCATTTCAAAGTAGTGGTGTTCCGATTAGTTGAAATAATCGAAGATTGGTCGCAGTGACCAAACGACCAAGCTATCGATCACATTTTCTCATAATCGAACACAAACGATTTGCAATTACTGTTTTAGTGTTTGAAACACTTGAAGATGGAACATATCCTAGAAGTTGTCAGGGCTTGAAAACTTGTTTAATTCTTAGAAAACTCACTTCATTAACTGAAAAGTCATGACTGAATATTTCTTGAAGACTCCAGAAAGATAATGTTCATGATATATTACTCATCACTTTCAAGTAGCAAGTTGCATCATGTTATACATATCTACAATAACAACGTTGATAGGAAAATCTGAAAAATGACGCTGACCAATTTGTTTCGATGATTGTTCATTGGTAATGAAGCAATCATCAATTGTGAGATTTCAACCAATTCCCAACAATATTTCAAAGACGCGACTGACGTGATGAAAACAGTAATCTAATCAGTAGTCAAAACTTTCAATTTTTACTTATCCTGACTCATGATCTTTTGCTTATCTCCCTTTCCTTTTCGAATGTTAGTGGAACACTTGAATCCCTTGAAGTTCCCGAAGCGGACGTAAAAATACACTCACCCACGAGTTACCTCCCTTTTGCCCTTTTCCTGCGCAAACAGTCATGTGACCAGCCTTACTTGTCACTCTCTCCCTTTTTGCCCAAGCAGATGGTTGGGCGAGCACTGGAGTCCCTTATACGGCATTATATCCTTTTTATTTAGGTTCTATTTTTTAAAATTACGCTGTAGATGGATTTGGCAATAACTACTATGTATTATATGTAAAAAATTGTAGAAATTATTTGTATTTGTGTCTTTATTTCATCGTTATGTAACTTTGTTTACATTTCATGAAATCTTGCAGTGTTTGCAGGCACAGGTTATCCGTGGCTGATCCTCACCCCCAGTGCCCTTCGTGCATAAAACCATGTTCTTCCAGCTTGCGCTGTACTTATTGTGTTGATTTATCAAATCTTCAGGGGGCAGTCTGCTGGTAAGGGGGCAAGAAGAGATCGACTTCAACGCAGTTGACTCCGTCTCAGGCTAAGAAAAAGACGTCATCTTCTTCTACATTGCAGAAGAAAACATCTGTTACCAGATCGAAGGGTAAATCTACGCGTGCTAGTAAATCAATGCAGCAGAAATCCTTCAACGAAGAGATATTACCTCCACATGAAGTAGACGTTTTTGATGACCCCCCGTTACTTCTACCCGAAGTACCTATGAGATCAGCAACTCAATTGTCTTCTACAACTACTAGATCGTCCCCAGCAACGGTCACAGCAGGCCAGCTGTTTGATGAACTACCACCTACTTCTCAACGGAGTGAAGTTGAGGCGCAGAACTCATCAGCATTCACGAACGCTTCGTCTGCACCGCAGCAGCTTCAACCAATGCAGAACCATTTATTCGGGCGAATTTATGAGCCAATTCACCAACCAGATGATGTCCATGATGGAACGTAGGTTCGAGGAAGAAGCGAAGGCTCGGCGAAGCTTCTCATCTACCGACAGTTTGCGCAAACCTACGGACCTGTGCGAACCTACACCTCATAGAACTACGTCTCAAGACTACGTTGGCGAAAGTACACCTTTGCGAAGGTCTCCATAGTCGGACGACTCTGTCATCTTGGAAGAGGATAGAAGAGATGAGATGCCTACTCACAGTTCTACATCTGCGAACCCTCAACGTTCGAGAACATTGAAAGATCTATCTCCTACACCTAGCAGCTCTAGATCGAGATATCATATCTCTCACAGACGTTCGCGAAGTCACTCATCACGAGACAGCTCACATCTCAGAAGTTCGTGAAAGGATACATCCGGCGACAGACGTTCGCGAAGGGATAGCTCACATCACAGAGGTTCGCAAAGAGATGTATCTACAGATAGAGGTTCGCAAAGAGAGCACCCTCAAGATAGACGTTTGCATAGGGAGGAATCTTCAGATAGAGGTTCGTGAAAGGATGATGAAGGTTCGAGAAGGGATACAGGTTAGCAGATGGATGAGTCGCAGAGACCTAGCACTAATATTCAGGAGACTTTGGATCAGCAAGCAGACTTCGTCTTCCCAGACTCAGAGGTTACAGCATGGATTGCCAACGGGTTGAACTTGGAGTCTCCTAAGGATAAAGATGAAGTCTACACTTATAGGATTCGTAATGACGACTTCGACTCCGTCACTATCCCTCCGATTGAACCTTTATCCAAGGTACCCTCTAACTTACGTACAGCTTTAGCGAAAGCATCCAAGTACCAGAGTCAACATCTACTATCATTTAATGAGAAGAGATTCCCCTTACATCATATGGATCCATTTACAAAGGCGCCTGAATGGGATGATAACATCAAGTTAGTCAATGACTCCCGAAACAAGATGTATAAAGTGGAAGACAAAAAGTTATCTCAACTTGATACTGCTACAAGGAGATCCTTCTTCAGGTTGGCCAGGTCCAGAGCCATCAATGAAGCATTGATCAATAAATTCCAGAACTCAAGTTCGGAAGAGGATAGAATGATATATTCGGCCCTCATAACACAGAAGAAGGACCAATACTATTTATCAGACCATCTGGCATCTATATCTGCAGGTCTCACTTTACTACGCAGACAAGGGCTACTTGCATCCTGTTCATGGAGTGATAGATTCACCCAACCACTACTGAGAGCTCCATGGGAGGCGCCTACTATCTTTGGAGGACAAATAGAGGATGCAGCTAAGGAAGCTACGCACGACTCTAGAGAAGTTATGATTATAAAATCCATAGTTACTCTGGCCAACTTCATTCGTCATACTTCTCAAAAGTATAACAGCAAGTCCAAATATTCCGGCATACAGAAGGCAAAGGAGAAGAAGTACCCCAGCTTCAGAGGCGGCAAAGGATCTTTTCGTCGCCCATGCGGAAATTACAGAGGAAACTCAGGGAGAGGCCGCATTCCCAGAGGATCCAGAGGAATTAGACGTTGATATCAAGGTTTGGAATGACTGGAGTCTTCCACCCCCAGCCGTTCCTGTAAAACTGTCGACAGTGGGTGGACGTCTACAAAGGTACTGGAAGAATTGGTTAATACTAGAGGACGACTACGTCTCCCAAGTACTAAGAGAAGGATACAGAGTACAACTCAAAGCCACACCTCCGCTAACCCTCAGCCCAATGGTCTTCAACTATGCAGAGGAACAGGCAGACAAACTACAAGAAGCCATCGACTCACTACTTATGAGGGAGGCTTTAGAGATAATAGATCAGCATCATCTCACTCCAGGCTTCTATTCCCCAATTAATCTAGTACTCAAGAAGAACTCCAAGGAGAAGTTCAGACTGATTTACAACATGCACAAATTCAACAAAGACTATCTACTGAAACCAGAGAGGTTCAGAATGATCCACCTACCTCAACTCAGACTACTCGTCTGTCCAGCAGATTACATGGCCAGCATAGACCTGCAGGATGCGTATCTACACATCTCCATAATCCGAATCTAGAAAGTATCTACGATTCCTATTCAGAGAGCAGCACTTCCAATGGAACGTCCTACCGTTTGGAATATCTTCGACTCTGTGGCTATTCACACGAGTACCCAAGCCTATAGTCGCATATCTACATCATCGAGGTCTACGCAATGCCTTCTACTTGGATGACGGAATTCAGGTTCACCAAGATGCCAGTCAACTCAGACTATAGCTTAACTTCACAATCAAGTTGCTCACTCAACTAGGATGGCTGGTGAACCTTATGAAGTCAGAGTTGGAACCAAAACAAGATCTGCAATTTCTGGGGATAAGGTTTATCACAACACAGAATCGTATTGTCGTCCCAGAAGATCGTTGGGTCAAGATACAAGCCATGATTCCACCAGCAGTCATCTCTCCGTTAACACTACGATCATGGCAAGTTCTACTCGGTCTACTAACCTCAGCGCAGGACTTGACTCGCACAGGACGGTTACAAACTAAGACCGCTGCAACGGTTCCTGACAAAACATCTAGACAGCGTCGACCCTATCTTGCTGCCAGACAACCTCAAGAAATATCTACTGTGGTGAACGCACAGGTCGAACGTTTGCAGAGGGACCTATTTACAAGAGCCAGCCTCGACACACATCTCTATGCTGACGCCTCGATGCAAGGATGGGGTGCGCATCTCAACAATCAAGTTGCATCAG